TCTAACATGAATACGTTTAAGAAAATTGACCAAAAATTGCTGCTTGCATTGTATTAGAAAATTATATAATATTCTTCGAATATTGTAGCTAGAAAAATACGTAAGTTATAATTAACAGGTAAATAAATGTTTCATTTACGGGAACACGGCCGATTTTTGAAATCATGATCATCATTATCAACAGCCTAAAACAGTGCACTGCTGGACATAGGCCTCTCCTTAGAAAGGAGGTTTTGGTCTACTCTACCACGCTGGCCAGACGGGTTGATATAGGGTTTGTTTCAAGTTTTCCTTCTCTTTGCAGTGCTGTTATCCTGCGTAATTTGCTCCCTTAGTCGGCTCTTACGACACCCACGGGATGAGTAGGGGTGGTGACATTCCGTATTCTTAATCCGTCACCACACGGATGGTTTTTGCAAAGTACCTAATAATAAAATTGTAAAGTGAATCCTGATATGAAGACTATTTTAATCGCGATTTGGAATCACCTCAGTTCTCGTTGATAAAAAAGTAGAAAATAAATTAATTCCTTGAAAAATCCTTATGCGCGTTGCAATTTTTATTTAAATGAGAGCATCTACTTCACTATTTTTAAATTCACGAAAATAAATTTTAAAAAATAACGTGCATAAACACCACACTTAACGATCTCTGTTTACATGTAATTACATTATTTATTTGGGATACTTTTCTGAGGATGCAGCACATTAGGGTTAGGAACATAAACAAATTATTAGCGCAAGAACTCTGTTGATTGAGTTAAGGTATCTGAAGCAATTAAAACCTTCAACAAGATTTTATTGATTTTACTCTTATTTGAGGTAATCTGTTTATTTGAAGTTTGAGGTGTATATACGAGTACTCGTATCTACACGTTGTACAGAAAACCATATGAGGCTTTCTGTTAATTACGTAAAAACTACACTACCAGTTGGCCAGTCTTTTTTTTTGGTGACGGGGTGAAATATCTCTTCGGATCTCCGACTCCTTGGGGATCCAGAAGTCAGGAGTATATGGTGTTTCCACAACGCATTAACGCTATTCCGTAAAAGTTATTATATACCCTTGAATTGCCAGACGTTGCGACTAGGCTGTATTGACCGTGGTCAGGCTGACTAACTACCACTACTAAATACTTTAAAAGATCGTACCAGTCATTTGACTATTCTAAAACCTATCCTTGTTTATGTATTCTTCGCTTGTCTTCTTCTTTCACAAGCTATGGCTGTATAAGCTGTATAACATGAAATCAATGACAAATAAATAGCACTAATACTGATAATAAACGTAATAACGAGCTGTAAGCACAGACGCGTTAATTACCGTGTCACATTACACGCTTAGTAACTCTTGAAGCCATAAATCCTTTTTAGTGCTACAGTAATTATACTGGATTTATATAATTCCGGAATTGTGTCTGCCAAGTGCAAGTAGGTACTTAAAGCTATTATATTATCGGTCTACTAATACCAAGTTTCCAGTTAGCCTGTGGACGCTATAACGAGGTACTTCCTCAATTGAGTGAATGCTTGTGTGGCAGTAAATGAATGTCAGATTATGATTTGATTACCGGCATTATTTTCATTCAATAGTTATTCGTGTATTAAAGTCCTTAAGATATTTTGTTTAGTCTTGGGTTAAGTTATTGAAGCTTATTTTTTGTGTAAAATTTAATATGACACGTGCTAGGGATATAAATAATTGCTGTCTATCGTAATAGCCAGTCGCGATCTGCTCGATATACTATCTAATGTCATAATAAACAAAAGAGTCTTAATCTTATTCGTGTTAAGTGTTGTCTAGCTGCTTTTAAGTGATGAAAAAAGGAAGAGGTCCCTGAATTAGCCAAAATATTATTCATGTGTTTTACCTGTTTTTTTTTAATGGTGGATCATGATAAAGACAAATATGAAGCTCGTGTTGCACTTTATTAAACAGTGTACTCTGATTAAACTTTTTATATTTGTTGCCTAATGGGGAAGCGTCTTCGTTAGAAACGATTTTTCCATGTCCATGATTTTTCAGTCCCAGCAGTCGTAAATTTTCTTGGCATTTCTTGCATTGATGTAGAACAGAGAAAACCACAGTAGAAAGAAATCAGCGCAGAGATAAACTACTTGAATCATATCATTGTGACTGATGTTATCATTAACCGTTCTTAGAAGTTAGATCATCATTCTAGCAGGACAATGGGATAATTCAATTTAAGTGTTCCGAATATGACACTTCAACATTTGTTAAAGAATTCTTCTAGGTACGATACCAGACTACATAGAAATTGTATGTTTTTTCTGCCCAATATAATTAATTTCTAAGCTATGATTCTACTATACACCTTTTTTTTCAGTGCGGAAATCCCCTCGGATATCACCTATCGGTGGCATGTCGGACTCGAACCGACTAAAACCGCACGCCGTCTCGGGTACTAATGGCCGGGGAACCAGGTATACCCTAGAAAGGAAGTCCCTGGTGCTCTACTATACACCTGAACTAGTGAACAAAAGAAAAATTGTTGATGATTTTATTATATTCATCATCGTCATCATCATCAACAGCTTTTCATAGTATACTGCTAGACATAGGCCTCTCCCTACACAGGGGGTTTTGGTCTACTATACCACGCTGGCCATATGGGTTGGTATAGGGTTTGTGTCAAGTTTTCCTTCTCTTTGCAGTTCTGTTGTCCTGCTCCTTTAGTCAGTTCTTACGACGCCCACGGGATGAATATGGGTGGTGACACTCAGTATTCTTAATCCGTCACCACAAGGTTTATATTCATACGCTGCACCAAAAATCTTACTAAGACATTTTCATTTTCACTAATTAATATTTACATTGATTGATTGATTGTGATTGAGATACATTGACTGATAGTGTTCCTAAGTTCTCCTAATTCTCCTACTTGACTGGTTTACTGTTTGGAATACCTAGGCAAAAAGAAAATAAAAAACAGTTTTCCACAAAGAACTTATTATTCAACTCACTTATACATTATTATATTCATTTATGTACGTTTTATTTACCGAATTAGTTTGATATCTGTCTTAAAATCGAAACTATTTTTCTTTAGTATCTCGTCCGTCGGCTATCAATCATTTTGAAGCCTCACATCAACATCTAGTTTTACCAGCTCATTCTAACAAATTATGATGCCATGGGGTCACCGCAGTCATAAAACATAACCACTAAAACTATAAATAACCATCTCTATTTTACGGGTTTTCGTAATTATATGAGTTAATGAAAATATGTCGGTTTATGGCTTTGTTATAGTTTGGTGGTATTTTATGGGATGCACTAACTACTTCTTGAAATATTAATTATGCACATAAACGGAATTTGTTGATATTCAGAAATAAATATATGCTATTTTAACCCGTAGGGCTACGAACCCGGCCTTATGCAAGAGGTCATGTTCATAACAGAATGTTATTTTACGGTCTATTTGATTTTAAATATTATGTAAAGGAATCAATATTTTTATATCTGCTAGTCTCTAAACATTTTTTTTTTTCTAAAGTATGTTTTTTTTTACGTTTTAAATTGATGAATTTTGCAGGGATCGATACAGTTTGATAACTTTTTCTATTTGTTTTCTACAGTGAGGGTTTTTTTTATTTAATATACTACTATTAAATTTGTTCGGTGGGACGTGACGTAATAAGCGGGAGCCTCATCAGACAGGAGACTTAATAAATCTTTCACATGATACTCATTCGCACAAATAAAAGTATTTGATTAAGTAAGGCCACTCATTGTTATCTGATAACGTTGTAGTTTTATCACTATCTGATTTAACTGAGACTGCATATGCTCGATAGATCTAAGAAGAATTGCAAGAAGGATTGACGGCTTAATACGTTATCGAGACAAAATAACAGCTGGAATTTCTAATGACTTTGGTTTTAAGCAAATGTGAACGAATTTTGTGGTAGAATGTGTACAAGTGCCGAAAATAGTTGTCTTTTATTGTTTATTTATTTATTCATTATTATCTTTTAATATTTCATTAATTAACAAACAATCTCTATTAACACGAGTTTATGTGTTTTTGTGATTTTTAAGCCAAATATTTTATTATCAAAGACTAAAAATAAATGATTTAATTATATATTTATAATATAATAAATATGTTAATTGCTCGTTGTATGTAAATTTTAACGTTTATATATGTAATATGCATGCATATATCATTTATGAACTTTTCGATGGATCGTTCAAAATTTGTGAACAAGTTTCTTGGCTGATACGAAATCAGCTTGGATACTGTATATTGACTACTCTTACGTAAGCCATGACACAGTTAAAACAATCATCGTAATAAAATCAAAACATCGTGATATGAGAGTACAAATATTATGCTCATTATGTTAGAATTCAAACTGATTGCATACTATACGTGTATGTCGGCACGTTCGACTACACACGTGGCGAATCCTAAGTAATCAATGAAAACAATGGAATGTATACATCCCTTGCTACTAATTGTATTGATCAATAACTGTTTTATAACTTTTGATACACGTGATTATGTCCATTGCACTTGTATTTTAATTTTCATCAAATACCAATACACAGAAGATCCAAATTTGAATTTTACATTTTGATCTTCTGTGTACATTGTAAGATATTTTAGAGAATGGGAAAAGTCATAGGAAGTAAAATATTGTTTCGAATAGAATTGTACAGAATTATGCACAGTTGATTCCTTTCGATAATAGTTTTTATATGCACATTATATCTAAATATATGGTCTTTATATGTATAAAAATTAACATTACCCACATTAGTTTCGTACTACAGTTTCAACGTGAACTCCATCATATAGTTATTGTATAAATCCTAAAAGTATTATTTACAATCCAAACTTGGTATTTCCAAAGGCAGGTAAGCCTTCAACAAAGCTCAGTTTTGTTTATTATTATTGCACATGATATTTATTCTGATCAGAAAGAATATGTGAATGACGTCAATAATATGAGAATTGGCATTCAATATGTTTACTGATGCGAGTTATTAAAATTACTTACGTCAAAGAAATGAGGTCGCAATCTTCCAATAGTATATTTTGCTACATCAGTAGTGAGCTGCTGGCAGGCACACCCGAAGAGGAACACGCCAACAACCTGATAGGCTTCCCACACCCATGGGGGAATTTCTCGGCCGAGCACCCTACGGGAATACGTGCTGACGTGATCTCGGAGTCGAATCCATTCTGTGAGACACATCTGTGGAAGAATGACAAAGAAAATGAATAAAATCTTTTCGGATTGCTAAAATCACCGGTACTAATTAATATTAGTACGATTAATATTAGTACGGGATTAGTACGAAGTAGGTCAGTACATAACTGTAACATTATTAATTATTCCTCAACCGACGATGGTTTCCTAACCTTAAGAATGGTTCTGACACCTTTTTCCCCAGAAATCTTTTTTGTTTCTTATAATAAAATTTAAAAAGGTTATTCTTCAAAAACAAGACTTACTATGTAATACAAACATCGTGTTTAATCTTGTTAAGTTTTCGTCATAGTTCACGATCAATCATTTATCATAACCTCCCTTATCAAAACCCATTAATCTTGACCTACAAAATTTTAGAATTCTGATCACTTTGATAATAATTACTCGTAAGACCGAGATTTGAAAACATTGGTCACTTGGTGAGTATTGCATAACTCATTATTCTCTTTTTTGTTTCAGAATTTTACTAAGTAATAATGCATCAATGCACTGACAATTACTGAACGGATGGCGTAGTGGTTTAAGCGGTCGCCATGCCTACTGCGCTGAGTGTTGTGGGTTCGATCCCCACACGGGACACCACTTTGTGTACCACAATTTTTTGTTCTGAGTCTGGGTCTTCTTTGTGTCCGTTTTGTGTATGTTTGTAAAGTCTCCCGCGACACAGGATATACATTCATAACGCGGGTGTTGTATTTAAAAAAAAATGACAATGTTTGAAATCGCTAATTAAAATGAGCTTGTTATTATTATTTATAGGTGTATAAATAATAATAACAAGCATAGTAACAGATTTATAGAAACTTGATATTATGACATATAAAACACTGGCGTCTTTATAACACCTACCTTAAGTGCTTTGAGTCACTTTGACCTTTTAGGTTTGCCAAATAAGCAAGGACACATTGACCAAATATAAAATCTATGTCAAATCTTAAAACATCTGTAAATTAAAGTACACTTACTGACATCACACTTGCAAGTCAATGCCAGATATGCAAGTTTTGCAGCGCGGCGAGTTTAAGCATTTGACTGCAATTATGGACGTCGAATTTTTTTAAATTAACTTCATTGCAGGCAATTAGTATAATGTAAAAAGAATACAAGCAAATTGAGCTTTACATACATACCAATAATACAACACAAATAGTTTGACTACTGTTGACAAAATCACGACAAACTGTTTTTTTTTACCTTTGACCTTGAATAACTTACGAAACAGACACGATATTATACGAGACTTTAGAGAAAACTTCAAAAACGCCAAAATAAAGGTATATACAAAAATTAAGCTTATTAGATCTCATTGCGAGGTGAATCGCTAAAGTGACTGGACTAATATGGCACATGATACCAGGCTTGCATAATAGCAGTCTTTAAACTGCTTGTTTGCTGTTTAAACCATGATTGAATTACCATTTACCACCATATTTCTCGGAGTTGCATCTAAGTTTGGTCAGTGCTCCACTTATAAGGATTGAAGCGAGATGTTGCAAAGTCTATATTAACTCTCAATAAATACTTTATTTAATACAAAAAGAATCATTCCAATCTGATTGATCGTCTAATAATTCTTCAGCTGCCTCGGTCATGCAGTGGTAGCGTATGCGACTGCTGTGCTGAGGTCTCTGGTTCGATGCCCGGGGCGGACCAAACGTTTGTATGATCTACAAATATTTGTATCGGAGTTTGTGTGTTTTCTATGTATAATATGTATGTATTTATAAAAAAGAACGTATATAAGTATTCTATTAGACAATCTAGCTGTCAAGCTGCTTGGTTTGAAACTAGATGGCGTTGTTTGTTAGATGTCTGAAAATATTATTATATTTAGCTATGTCTTAATTACACAGGTAGACATGGCACACAATGATAGTTAACGCATATTATGTATGTATTAATAGTCGATCGCGCATAGCTATCAGGATGTTGTATATATTATACGAGAGCGGCCTTGCCCTGATATGGTACAGGGTCGGGCCGCATGCACTATACACATATACTAGCATACCATATAGGCTTATATATCCTAACTTTTATTATAAATGCAAATATGCATGTAATGCATGCGATGCAGTAACTACGACACCGGATTTGGATACTAATTGGAACACAACAAAATTGTTTCTTGAAATGATACTCGTACAGGCCGGCAAATCCGCAAATGACTACTTTAACTTTTTTAAATTTATATGGAGTGAGTAATGTTTATGATTATCTATAGGTATATTAGAAATAAGTTGAAGTTGACAACGGCTGTTATTTTTATTGTATATATAAGGTTAAATACCTATTTTTTAAACCTATTTAAAATTTTAATAAGGAACAACCCTGATAAAGCTATCGTTTATAATATTCAAAATAATATTCGAGAATAAGGTCACCACCCACATAATTTCCCGTTCTGTCTTCCGTTTCTATTTAGCACAAATTAGCTATCACTACGCAAAAACTATTATTAAGTAGCATAAATAAAGGGCACTAGCCTGTAGTTATTTAAGACACTAAACCTTTTTTATACAGGGAGTTGGAACCCCTACGGGTTTTCTTATCATCTTCTTTATTAACCTGAAGTGAGAGTGAAGTGTCATGTCAGAGTCGTACCGACTGAAACCAAAAGATGCTACATGTCAAGTGACTCTTTTGCGAGTGACTTAGTTACATCTTTCGAACGAAATCTCTCAGAACATGGCAGGCACTTAAACATTAAGCAGTCACACTATTGCGTGCAGAGGGCCTCTTTTGCGGCTTCAAAAGGCGCATACGGAACACCCCTTCAGGAGACCAATATACACACCATTCCTAATACGCTAAGTGTTGTGGGTTCGATCCCCACATGGGACAACACACTGATCCGCAAATTGTTGTTCTGAGTCTTGTGTTCTTTGTGTCGGTTTCATGTATGTTTTGTAAAGTCTTACCTTTGCCTTTTCATAATATACATATAATAAATAAATACATATTCTTCTTATACTGATAATGTCACGATAATAGCAAAAGAAAGATCTTTTTTCAATTGAATTGTTTTTCCCATTTCAATATAAAGAAAACATTTCATGTCTAGGGTCGGAGAATTTAGAGGTAAAGAAAATAATTTACAGTTATTACATTTTAAGCTTATTAATGACGGCGGTAATTTCTTTGAACGAAAATTCAATGTTAGTGAAACGGATACCAACGTTCTGCCTATAACAGGTTGACAAAAGGTTACCTACAAGCGTTACTATCAGAAGTAATATATTTTATGCTTTCGTGTCTACATAAATGTATACAAAAAAAGTAATGACTGAGAAAGTCTGCCTGCATGAGAGTAGAAATGGAGGACGGGTCTTAATAACTAATTATATGCCATATATCATTAAACACTCTTTCACACCAGTTACATTGTTTACAAACGCATTGTCTTACTCGGCTTAATAATAAATTTGCACCTTACTGCTCCGGTAATTGCTCTCGGGAGAAAATGTCTTATACTTCACAGTAATTTTGTTACAGAAGAACTGAATACTACAGAAATAATAATAACTTAAGACACCTCATGAACGGCGGTCTGATCCCAAACTAGGTAGAATATGTACTATGGTGATCAGACCTCTTTTTATGTTAGAGGCGGCAGACGAGCAGACGGGTCCCCTGATGGAAAGTGACCATGAACGCCTGCAAGTCAGAAGTTACAAACGCGTTGCCGGCCTTTTAGGTTTGAAGGTCGTATATAAATATATATATAAGTATGTTTATCAGCAGTCTGGTTACTGTAGTATAGGCTCTGCTTAATTTGGGATCTGACTGCCGTGTGTAAGGTGTCTGAGGTTATTATTTTATTTATTTATTTATTATTACTAGCATATAAATGTATGTTTATCAGCAGTTTGCTGAAACCCATAACCAAAACTTACGTTGAAAAATGAAGGGTAATGTTTTACGTTACATCGTTTGTACTTATTATAACCCGTTCTACAGATTGGTTGTGCGGGGCAAAAAGTGTCTCGAAAAGCGCACAGTACTGTCGATAAACATACAAGTACCTACTTTTATACCTACTTTTATTACTAAATAGTCAGTCAGGATCACTATATAAACAGGCCTGTCGGAAACCTGATAATAATGAATACTAAGATGTACAAACAAGCCGAGTTGAAAAGAAATTAATCAAAGGTTTTTACAGAGAACATACATATAATATATTTAACTGGTGAGTGATAACAGAATACATTATTACTATTCCGTCTTTGAAGGCTAAAGACCGCGCGGTTGTGCAGTATCAAGATTAACCAACCAAGTGAAAGACACATCGTCTGCCAATTTTTACAGGTTCGTAAGAGACCGGCTGGACAGGAACCCGCGGAGAGAGAGAGCATCCGGCCCAGATGATGACCACGATCCTCAGACAAGAGTAAGACACTATTTAGTGACGAGAGTAAGACACTATTCAGTGTAAATAGCATCTTTAGTGTAATACTAACTTTTAAACTTTCGCGTTCCATGATAATTAATATTATTTAACAGGAACAGTGACCACGGCCGGTGCAACCTGGTCGAAACGTCAGGCAAACCAGAGGTATGTAATACCCTAAATAAGAGATCGCGTTAATTTCTGTTAAATAATATTAATTATCTTTAGTGTAAGTTACGATATTTTCATTCTCATCTTACTGCCTTCCTTATTCGATTTAGGGGGTCAGCGCCATGTGTAACATTGCGAAGGGTTTTGGCTGGTTTACTTCATGGCCCATCCTGGCCTGAAAGCAACCTTAATTAATTCTTCAAGAACGTAATTGTTTTACATACTATATAGAGAATGTAAATTTGGGTAGAGAAAACGGAATGAGGGAGCTTGGGTAAAGAATGCTCCAGGTCACGGACGCAGAAAGGGGATTAAAGCTGTAAGAAGCTAGGAGACCTGTTAACCCGTTCTATAATCAAGAGGTCACTAGGAAAGGGTCACAAACACGGCCCGTAAAGTATGATATTAATAAGGCCTAGGTGCCAAACACGGTTGCATTCTTCTTTTA